ATGTAACTTTTTAACATCTCTTTCTTTTCAATTTACAACAAATATTTGGAAGTTATTGCTGAGGTCTCAAATGCACTTATCAAATGTGCCAAAACTGGAAGGTATTTTTAAAAGACCCTGAAGTCATCTTAACTTGCCATTTGTTTAGTCTTCTTGTTTGGAGCAAAAGGCAAAGAATTCACAAATGCTACATCTTAAGCACCTGTTTCAAATTAAACATCAGCCTTTAGCTGGCAAAATAATTTCTTGATAATTAAGCAAATTGCAGCAGAACATCCATCTCAGTTGATTTTTTATTTCCTGGAAAAGTCAGCAGGATAACTGTATACTAAGGGTTTCTTTCTGTGTTGAATCTGAAAGATGGAACAAAAGAAAAGCAGTCTTTTCCATTCTAAACCGTGGAAATCATGTAAAGAAAGATATCTGTATTTTTTAAAATATGTTTTTAGTTGTAGATGGACACATTATCTTTATTTATTTTTATGTGGTGCTGAGGATTGAACCCAGTGCCTCACATGTGCAAAGCAAGCGCTCTACCACTGAGCTACAGCCCCAGCTTCAAGATATCTGTATTTTAACAGGAAAAGTGGATGAATAAAAGAAACAGGGCTACCTGCTATAGAAGACTACATAGAAATATGTACCATGTCCTGAATTTTGTTTTGAGATAAATGTAAAAGCACCTAAATGTCAAGAAAATGTTCTTCCTGTACGATAAGGATCCTCCCATGGTCCAACAGACACAATCATTCTCTCACAGGCCCACTCCAGGCCCAGAAGACAGACAGACAGACAGAGGGTCAAGCACACCTCATTCCCACATCTTCACTTCTTCCAACATATCAGCTTATTAATGACCATTGCTGTGGTATCATAATTCCGTTTCTAGGGAAATGCAAACCACAGGATGTGGTCTCTGAACCCATCCTTAGAGAATATTACCATGGAGGATATTTTTCCCACATAGTAAACAAAAGGATAGTGATCTCGGAAGTTGTGTCACTGACCAGGGAGCTGTAACAGGCTCAGGCAGGGTGTAACCTAGATGACTAGATGACCGGGGGAGACAGTGGCCACATTGCGTGGGGAAACCTCAGCCCTCTCCCCGATTCTGCAATGAAATAATAAATCATCAGGCTTTGTCCTTCACTTATATTTGTTGTCAAACTGGTTTTCTACACTGATCACATTTGACTTTGATGGTGATACATTATAAGTGCTGGAATTTTATCCCAATTAAAAGATGATTTCTGCCAGGCATGGTGACACGCCTGTAATCCCAGTGCCTTGGGGGGAGGCTGAAGCAAGAGGATCAAATAAATAAATAAAATACAAAAATCTGGGGATGTGGTTTAGTGGTTGAGTGCCCGAGTTCAATCCCCAGTACACTCCCCCCACCACCACCAAAAAAAAAAAAAAAAAAGTAGAATATGATTTCTCCTTGAAATGGCTTTGATCAGTGATCCACCTGCTTGGTTCTTTGCCCTTGATGTAGCTGCTCCAGGATTTGGGCTCTTCCTCTTGCTCAGTGGAGGTGGGAGGCACTGTCATTCTCAGAGAGGAGGATCTGCTTGTTGATCCAGAAGAGCGGCTCATGGGTGCTATTCCTCCTGCGAGATGCTCGAGATGCTCGTCCAAAGCCTGCCTCCGGGTAAGAAACTAATTACTTCTCCTGTTCCTGCAGTTTGGCCTCCTAAGGGAATGAACCCTGCAGCAGTAACCAGCCAGCCATAACAGAGCACAGAACAAGTGTCAGCTGCCCTGCAACCCCTAGAAGCAGAAAAGGCGCTCAAACCCAGGGAGTGGAGGACCCCATCATGCAGAGCTCAGGAAGACTGGAGTTTGAATAGATGAGCAGCCCTTAACATTATTTGCGATGTGTTGCACTGAAACAAGGGAGTGCTGGCGCCAGGAGCAGTGGCACGTGACTCAGCAACTTAGCAAGGCCCTAAGCAACTTAGTGACACCCTGTCTCTAAAGGAAATATTTTTTAAAAGAGCCGGGGAGGGGATGTGGCTCAGTGGTTAAACACCCCTGGGTTCAATCCCCAGGACCAAAAAATAAAATTCCCTGGTACCAAAAATAAATAAATAAATAAATAATAAAGTAAAATGTAGAGTGAGGGATGGTTAGGTTAGGTGTGTGGCTTCGTGGTAGAGTGCTTGCCTAGAATGTTTGAGATCCTGGGTTGGATACCCCCTGCTTAAAAAAAAAAAAAAAAAATGATACAAGGATATTCGATTACGAATATTCAGTCCTTCAAAAAAAAAAAAAAAAATGCAAAGTAAAAAAAAAAAAATAGGGAGGGTCGAAAAGCAAGGTTGTTTCCTCTTGGCAGCAGAAGGAGCTCTTGCTTCCTACCTCTTTCACTCCCTTCTCAGCAAGTTCTGGGAGAGCCACGTCCTGGGGTCCAGGAAAGGGCTGGGGGTTGGTAGGGCATCAGTAAGTCCCAGCAACAGTCTAGAGGAAAAGGGAGGTTCCTCTGCATTTCCCTTTCCTGCAGGCCTGCTGGTTTTTCATGATGTCATCCATTCATCATTGTGAGCTGATTGGCCAGCCCGGGGCTTGGCCAGCTGCCCAAGGCCAGAAGGGAAGAGCGAGATCCCAGGACAAATGTGCAGCCGGCCCCTGAGCATGTGTAGAAATGTTGACATCAGTTCCACATAGAAAGACTTGGCGGAAATCAAAGAAGACAGTACAAGTCACAAGATCTTTTCCAACCTTCCCTTCCCTGAATGCCTGGGAAGAATTCAGGGGCCTCTTGCCTGTGGATGGGGAACCGAACCCTGGAGTAGGCCTGGGTGTAGAGGAGGGACTGCTCTGCCAGATGGTTCATTCTCCAGAGTTCAACCTGTTTCCTGACTCAGTCGTGTTTGAAAGCAACTTTGTCCAGGTATTCTTGGGTGACTCAGAATAGTACTCCTTGATTAAAAGAAAAGAAAACCTGTTCCCAAGATGTGAGCAGGACAATCACTCCTGGAACTAGAATGGAGTGAGAACTGAGGCAAGGAGAAGCTGGGGGCCTGGAATACAAGACCAGTCCCCCTGACCAGGGCTTCTCCTGTAGCCATGGACACCTGGGAAGAGTGGAGGACTTGAGATGTGAAGCCCCAGCTTATGTCATCCTCCAGGCTTTTGCCCAAAGTCAGGTGGACACGGAGGCAGGAAAAGGAGATGGTCTTTGAGGGTTCAGGACAGAAATGATGATGGGAGAAAGAATAGGAGCTGGGGACCCAGAAAACCTGGGTTCAGATTCCAATCCTCTGCTTTATCATGGGGGAGGTGTCACTGGACACAAAACCTGCACATCCTTATTCCACTTGCTCTAACGTAAGAGGGTTGGACTGATCTGAAGATGCAGCAAGCAAGGCACCTGGTGGAACAGGCACTTAAGGTGTCCCCTAGGGCCAGACAGAATCTTGAAAAACTAGACTGTGGAGCTGGAAGGGAAATTCCCAGCCAATAAAGGTGCAGGAGATTAGAGAGCTCCTCCAAGGAGGGCCTGCAGGATGAGTTTCTCAGAGGAAAGGCAGGAAATAGACCAGGGTGGGATTCACAGAAATGTGATAGATGCCTAGGTTATAGTTCTTGTGGACAGTTGTTAATAGCAGGTCATTTAGACACTAGTATAAGTTTGTGGGGATTTTTTTGGTGGTGTTTGTTCTTTTTTTTTTTTTAACCAATATAAGTTAGAACAATAATTCTCAACAGGCCACGATATTGTGCCCCTTTACCCGGGGACATTTGGCAATGTCTGAAGACATTTTTGGTTCTCACAATTTGAGTGAGTGGTTGCTAGTAGCATCTGGGGGCAGAAGTCAAAAATTCTGATAAACAATCTACAATGCACAGTACAGCCTCTCTCTCAAACAAAGAATCATCTTAATAGTGCCGAGTTGAGAAACCCTGGGCTAAAACATACTGCTACTTCTGCCAAATACTCAGGCTGTGCCTGGGGGCTGCATTGCAGGTCAAAAGGGGCCGAAACTGGATAGACATCAACAAAGCCCCCAACACCGTGGCCCTTGGGGTGACCTCCTCTGTGCCTTGCCTGCCCCTTCCCAACGTCCTCCTCATGGCCAGAGTCAAATGGCATCCGGGGCAGAGCCAGACATGGAACAGACCATCTAAAGCTCCAAAGATTATCCTGAGGAGGTAAGCAATGCAGGTGGGAATGAGGGACAAGACAGTGACAAGGGGACCCGAGGTGGTGACTAAAGGTGGGGAGAAAGCAGACACAGTGGTAATGTGACCTTTTTTAGACAGCAATAACCCCAGATAGGTAGTAAAATGGAAGGGCATGTGGGATAAGGGAGGGGTGGTGTGGACAGGAGGAGGGGCCAGTCTACAAGCCCTCTCCCTTCTTGCTGCACTCATCCCCATCCCTGACTTCAGAGGAGCCCTCCCAGTCTGTGGCTAAGGAGCGAGGAGGCAGTGAGGTCTGACAGATGGAGTGCTGGTTGGGAGAGGCCAGTTCTTTCCAATCCTTGATATACAAGTAGCTAGACTTAAAATTAGTTTGAAGCACAGGTCACCTACTGCTTCTCAGTTTTCCCATCTATAAGATGTCTGGGACAGGGTCCCATTCAGAATTTAACATATGGTCACATCGTATTTGTCTGGAATAAAGCAGATGTTCTTGATGTTTAAACCTCTTGAGACAATTTGTAGTCTGCCTCATGAATCTCTAGATAGTCCCAGAGTTCCAAGAAACCTTTTCATTTCTCCATACTACTACATGGCAGGCCTCTCTGCTATGTTATTGGTGTACCTATAGCAAGTACAACCCAGGCCCAGCTAACTAACATTAGACCCAAGGCCAAAACCTTGAACTTCAGCACCTTTGGGAAGAGTTATGGAGGCACTAAGGTCAATGAATGGACAAATTGGACACATGGACTTCTTCCTGTCAAGACAAAATTTGCAAAAACCCATAATCCCAGCCATCCCACTCCTAGGCTGTGTCTCAAGCTGGATCTAAAGAATATCAGCATGAAAATTATGGCAGGGAGGGTGGAGATTAAAATGCAGATTCCGGGGCCACAGTCCAGACCTAGAGAATCTGAATCCTTGGGGATATCTGCAGGCATCTGTGTTTTAAGTAAGCTCCTCTGTGTGTCTGGTCTCCACAAAGTTTGAGCAGCACTAGGTTAAGTGTTCTTTCTCCTACCCCTAAAAGCTTCTATCCACAAAGAGACACCCCTTATTTTAGTGAAGATAGGGTCACATCAGAAGCAATGGGGTTGTCAGTGTCTTCCCCTGTGCCTTCAGGATTCTCCCATTGAAATTTGTGGAGCTCCAGGTCTGTGACCGCCTTCAACGCATCCTGCGGTTGAGAACAGTCACTGAGAAGATCTACTACCTAAAACTCCACCCTGACCATCCAAAGACTGTCTTCCACTTCTGGATCCGACTGATTCAAATTCTGCAGACGGGCCTGTCCATCACCACCAAAGACCCTAGGATTCTTGTCACTCACTGCCTGGTACCCAAGAATTGCTATAGCCCATCTGGAAACTCTAAGGTAAGGGAAGGGTTCACCGTCACCAGCCTTCAGAGGCAGAGCTTAGATTAGTTGTTGGTGAGCATTTTGGGTAGGCAATTCCAGCTTTAGGCCTTTTACAGAGAGTTTTACTCAGTTACCATTTATAACCATAAAATTCACACACTATAAGTATACTGCATACTTTTTTATCCTGTTTTCTTCAACAGTTTTGGTAAATTTATAATTTTGAAATTGTTAATCGTCAACACAATCCAGTTTTAGAACATTTCTATCACCTTAAAAAAGTCCCTGTTGCCCATTTGCAGTCATTCCCTGTTTCAACACCTAGCTCTAGGGAACCACTGATCTGTTTTCAATCTCTGTAAAGTCATCTTTCTTAGGATTTTATATACATGGAATCCTATATTATATAGTTTTTGTGTCTGACTTTCATTTATCACAGTTCATCCATATGACAGCATGGAACCAGTTCTGGGGCAAAGTCACTGACTATCAGTAGTTAATTTGTTTTCATTGCTGAGTAGATTCCATTTTGTTCATCCATTCATGAATTGATGGACATTTAGATTGCTCCAGTTTGGGGCTCTAATGAATTATGCTGCTTGTACATACTGTTGTATAGTCATGTTTTCATTTGTCTTCAGTAGATTCCAAATAATAACGTTGATGAGTTTTATGGAAAGTTTGTTTAACTTTTTTTTGTGTGGCACTTGGGATTGAACCCAGGACCTTTTGCATGTGAGGCAAGCACTCTATCAACTGAGCTATATCCCCAGCCCCTATGTATGACTTTTAAAGAAACTGAAAACCTGTTTACCAAAGTGACCATTTTACATTCCAACAATTTGTGAGGTTTTATGTTTCTCCACATTCTAACACCAGCATTGTTCATCTTTTTTATTATAGTCAGTCTTGCAGATATGTGTTGGTTATAATTTGGATTTCCCTAGTGACTCAGGATGTTGAGCACCTTTTCCTAGGCTTTTTAATTTTTCATACATCATCTTTGGTGGAATGTCTATTCAAATATTTCACCAATTTTTAAAGTGAGTTTCATCTTCCTACTGAGTGTGAGAATTCTTCAAATTCTACTCTGGATACAAATCCTTCATCAGATATATAATCTGCAGATATTTTTTCTCACTCTGTAACTTGTATTTATTTTCTCTTCTTTTTCACTGTCTCATTCCTTCCTTCCTCCTTTCTTTTTCTTTTTCTTATCTTCAGTGCTAGGGATTGAACCCAGGGTCTTGCACTTGCATGCATCTACCACTGAGTCCTAGCCCTGGTTTCATGCTCTTTTTTTAAAAAAAAATATTTTTAGTTATAGATGAACACAATACCTTTATTGTATTTATTTATGTGGTGCTAAGGATCAAACCCAGTGCTTCACACCTGCTAGGCAAGTGCTCTACCACTGAGCCCAGCTCCAGCCCTGGTTTCATGCTCTTAATGACATCTTTTGAAGAACGAAAATGCTTGATTCTGATCAAGTGCAGTTGGTCAACTTTTTGTGGATCAGGCTTTGGTTCTGTATCTAGCTCTTTATTCAACCTAAACCCACAAATCTTTTATCCTGTTTTCTTCTAGAAGTTTTGTAGATTCAGCTGGTACACTTAGGTTTGTGATCCATTTTGAATTAATATTTGTGTGTGGCATGAGGTAAGAGACTAAATTCTTTCTTCTTTTCATTATTTTGTTTGTTTTTGCATGTGGATATACAATTGGGGTCCCCATCATTTGTAGAAAAGATTATCATTTCCCCAGAATTGCCTTGACATCATTGTAAAAAATCAATTGATCCCAATAAAAAATGGAAAAGGAAAAAAAAAGAAAACTCAATTGATCTTAAATTTAAGGATTTATTTCTGGATTCTCACTGATTCATACAAATCTACAAAAGTCATTTATGTTACCCAAATATTGCTACTTTAACTTGTGAAATAATACACTGATATTATCTGCAAACAAGATAGATATATTTTCAATCTGGATTTATTCATTTATTTATTGCCTCATTGCAGCTGCTAGAACATTCAGTATGATGTTCAATAGAAGAAGCAAAGCAAGTGTCTTTGCTGTGTTCCCAGTCTTAGGGGAAATGCAATTAGTCATTTGCCATTAAGTATGATGTTAGTTCTGGGATTTTTGTAAATGTTCTTTATCAATTTGAGGATGTTCCTTTGTTAAAATGCTTCTCTGTATCTATGAAGACAATCATGACGTTTGTCCTTTATTCTGTCAACATATGCTATTACATTAATTGATTTTTTATGTTAAATCAACCATATATTCCTGCAAAAATAAATTGGTTTTCTAGCATTCTGATAAGTATTTAGAAGACTATGTTCCTGGGAGATGCTGAATTATAGTTTTCTTGTGATATCTTTATGATACTCTGGCTTTGGGATCAAATTAATTCTAGCCTCAGAGAGTGAGCTGGGAAGTGTTCTCTCCTCCTCTATTTTCTGGAAGATTTTGTGAAAAATCTTAAAGTGATTTTTTTTTTTACTTCTTAAAATATTTGATAGATTTCACCAATAAAGCCCCCTGGACCCTTTTGCTCCAGGTCTTTTCTGCTTATGAGGTATACCATACATCCCATGAAGACAGATTCTTATCTGTTATATCCTTATTGCCTTGCATTGTTGATTTTCAGTAGTGAGTGAATCAATTAATATGGGGCAGCATGTGCAGCTGAAGTACATTTGGAATATCATAAGCAACAGGAAAGAAATTAATTTTAGACAGTTGTAAAAAAGCAACTTCATGTAGGATTTTCTTAGAGAAGTTATTTTTCTAAAAAATTTATTTTTTAGTTGGACACAACACCTTTATTTTGTTTATTTTTATTTTTATGTTGTGCTGAGGATCAAACCCAGGGCTTCGTACATGCTAAGCAAGTACTCTACTGCTGAGCCACAACCCCAGCCAGAGAAATGTTTTTAATTCATTAAATTCTTAAAATAAATATATGATCTCCTACATTTCATTATAAAACCAAGTAGTATTAACTTTATTAAAGTTTACATTGGTAGGCTATTCAATAAACTATGTTAAGGTATATTAATGGGAATAGGCTCTCTACTAAATTGTTATCAAGTATTCAATGAAGATATTAACTTTAGAGGCACAAAGTACATGGCTATAAACAGACATGGTCAGAATTGCCTCTATACGTACAAGCTGCCCAATGGGAGAGATTGGATTCCAACTCTTGAGAGTTTTGACTATGATACTGAGAAAATACACAGAGGTCCTAAGGCCTTCACCACCATCTTGGTTTTTGTTCATTCTTCATATAGTTAGTACAGAAGAAACCCCAAGCCTCCCACCCCAGTGAGAGCCTCCTGCAGCTGATGGCCAAGGGGGAGAGTGAGGCCCTCTCTCAGATCTTTGCCGACTTGCACCAGCGGAACCAGTTCAGGTACATGACTTAAATCTAGCAGACCATGATGTCCCTTCCTGCAGCCCAGATGATCTAGGCAGTGAGATCCAGAAACCAAGTCCCTGGGTTAATGAGCCCATGGAGGTTCAATAAAGTACTGCCACGCAGCGCAGCACCCGGTCTTTATCCTTGGCTTAGCCTTTTCCAGGTGCCCTTTACCTTTGTCCCCTTCTCCACAGAGCAAGCAAGGTAGGTTTGACTTCAAGGAGGAGTCTTGCACAAAATGAAAAGTAACTCTTTGTCAAAGAAAATGGGGAAGGTAACGCAGGTGGAAAAATTAAACCTAATTTCTGATCCAATTCCTGGTCCTATACAGAAATACCCAAAACACCGTTAAAAACACTTATCAATCTATTGGTTTCATTTACCTGCTCACTTGGCTTCTGCTTGGACTTCATGGAGTTTCTGTGACTGTTTTCTAAATGTATAGTCTGTTCTGAAAAGTTCTATGGTACAAGCCTATCTTCTTGGCTTGAAGAAATATCCCTCTATGTACAGATGACTTCACATTGAATCTTATGTATTAAGAAAGATAGGAGTTGAAAACACTGAGACCAGAAGGTACCAAGACCAGTAAGCAAGTGGGGCTCTAGGTCCCAGTGAATGTCATTGTGGCTTAAAAGAACAGAAGCTGGGTGTGGTGGTGCACACCTGTAATCCCAGCGGCTTGGGAGGTGAGGCAAGAGGATCACGAGTTCAAAGCCAACCTCAGCAAAAGCAAGGTGCTAAGCAACTCAGTGAGACTGTCACTAAATAAAATACTGCCCCCCCCCAAAAAATAGGACTGGAGATGTAGATCAGTGATCGAGTGCCCCTGAGTTCAATCCCTGGTACCACCCTACAAAAAAAGAAAAAAAAAAGAACACAAATAGATGAGTAAATATCACCAGGAGAAAAATGAATTGCCACAAAGAGATTTTTGGCACAATAGGAACCAGGTAGACCAGAAGCTCAGAGGCAGAGCAAATCACCATTTTTTTTCTGAGTGATGGTAGCAAACTAAGAACCAGTTCAGCTCAGTGGAAGCAATCTCTTATAGTGATGAAGAGCTCATATAGATCTGGGCCCATGTCCCTGCTCCAAGAGTACCTGTGAGCATACTGTGTAACTTCTCTGGGCCTCAGTTTTCAGATCTGTAAAATGAAAATAATGCCAACCGCAGCCAAATATTGTCAGGATTAAATGAGCTTATACTACATCAAGTGCTTAGCATACTTCTGTTTGCTAAGCACTTGATGTAGGTTTGGAGGTGGATATAAGTAAGCTCTCAGTAATTATTAATGTGTATTATGAGCTCTAACTTGGGTTGGAGGTAGAAAAGTATTAACACAAAAAATCTTAGCAGTTTTCCAGTGCTAAAGAACATATACCAGGCATCATTACTGTTTGTATCATACAGAGATCTCTAAGAAATTTCTGAATAAGATGTCACATTGCTGAGCTAAAGAGTGCTAGATTCTAATAAATCAAGATATTTCAAAAGGACAGTTTTGACTGTCTCCAATTATTAAATCACTGATTTTTAATTACTACCTAAAAGACATTTTCTGCTCATATCTCATTGGCCACAACTCTGTCCCATGGCCACACTCAAGGGAGTCTGGGAAATGTATTTTGTTCTAGTAGCAAGCCTGAAAAAAATTAGGTGCTCTGCTGCATTATTGGTATTATTTTCACTTTAGAGAACTGAAAACTGAGGCCCATTATGCTCACAGGTACACTTGGAGCAGGGACTTGGGCTCAGATCTATATGAGCTCTTCATCACTATAAGAGATTGCTTCACTGAACTGGGCTGAGTTACGAGGGGCCTACTGGAAATCTCTGACCTAGACAGCTTTTGATGTTTCTGGAAGGTCACAGGAGACTAAATCCTGAAGGGAGGTATAGTCAGTAACAATATAAAGGGTGGAAGCTGCAGTGGCACAGGCCTGTAATCCAGTGGCTCAGGAGGCTGAGGCTTGAGGATTATGAGTTCAAAGCCAGTCTGGGCAATTTAGTAAGGCCCTAAGCAACTCAGGGGGTTGGGGATGTGGCCCAGTGGCTAAGCACCCCTGGATTCAATCTAGGTACCAAAAAAAGAGAGAAAGAGTGGAAAAGGAACAAATGGGCGCAAAGGAATGAAAGAGGAAGAAGCTTGGTGAGTTTAGGGAAAGGGTAGGAAGGCCAGTAGGGAAGAAGAGCAGGTGGCAGTGGAAGAGAATAAGCAAAAGTGGGCAGGGGCTCAGCCAGGCAGGGCCTAGGAAGCCACAAGAAGGAATTTAGACTTTAAATGTAGTGGGAGCCTTAGCAGCATTTTAAATAGCCAAATGACGTGATCCAATTTACATTTTAAAAAGGTCATGCTAGCTGCTGCTCTGACAGTTGATTTGAAGGGAGGGAGAAGAGACTTGGAGAGATCAATTATGAAGCTATGGCAACCTAGTCTGTCCCAGCACACACAAAATGGGTCAGAGGGGTGCAAGAAAATGGGAGGCAGGGTGGGTTTTGCTTCACTTTATGTCAGTACTTTGTATGGGCATTTGTTTGCTTCAGTTTACCAGCAGAAACCCCTGATTGGTGATTTTTCTCCTCATTCAGGCAGGTTCCAGTCTGGTTGCAATTAGTATCAGTTTGTGCACATTGGCAACAACATGCAGTGTTACAGTAAATAAAATAAATGGCTGAGACACAGGATCCAACAAATGGAGTCCCAGTCCCTTCTCCTCAGCAAAATCAGTAGCATGGGCTCTACTTCTTGCTTCCCCCATCTTACCTCCCTCTTCCTTTTTTTTTTTTCTTCTGGAAATTTAATATGCATTGCACCCACCTAATGTAGCCACAGCTGGTCTTTTTCATATTTACATCTCTCTAAAGCTTCTGCATCAGGAAAAATCTAACTAGAAATAAGTTTGAAATACGAGTTTGATGTTCTATTCTTTTTACTTTCAACCTTCATTTCCTTGACCTTGAAATGACTGGAGTTCCAGGAGCTGCAAAAAGATGAAGATCCACAAGATCTGCACAGGTAAGAGAGGGCCAAGGCACTGTGCCTGGGAGAACTGTCCCCACCGCAGGCCTAGGAGTCAGATCCTCTGCTGCTCCCTCTCCTGACCTTCCTGGTGCCATGGGGACTGCCATGATCTTTCCCTGCCGCAGTAGAATTCCTCTGGGCAATTTTGCCACTATAGTCAATTTGGCACCAAGTTCTAACAACAGTTTGAAATATTTTTTATATTCTTTACTTCATTTCCAGGACCCATAGACCTTATCCTCACTCAGTCCTTCCCCCAAAGACTGCAGTAATTTCCCACTAGTTCATTCAGTCATTTTTTTTATTCAAAAGCATGTACTGAGTGTTTTATAAGTGCCACTCATTGTTGATAGGCTTTGGGGTCACTGTGTAGAAAAACACAGTGGCCCTTTCAAGGACTTTATCCTGGAATGGAGTCAGATGGGTAAATACCAAAATTACAAAACCTCTCCTGCCAAAGGAGCACAAAGAAGGAGGTTTCTCATGCCCCCCAGGACTCTGGCCCAGGAGGCTCGGGGTCTGAGCCGAGTCATGGGGGATGATGAATTCCTGTGAGCTGGCTGAGCGGATGAGGGAAGGCATTCCGGGAAGAAGAGGCCATCTGTGTGGGCGGTCTTGACACATTCTGGAAGCAGTAGTTGATTGTCTTATTTCCCGGTTCTAGTTTATCCCCAATTCACTTGCAGCCCTGCATAAACTTTCCCCATCCTACCTGTCTCTCACCTCCTCTGCCTCCTCATCACCCACCTCCAGCCCACAGCTTCTGCAGCCAAACCTCAGCTATTCTTTCCCATAGCTCATTCATCCCCTCTCTGTTCCCCTCCCCTCAAGGCTCACTTTAAATCCTACCTGTCCTAAACCCTATGTTCGCACCACCTTCCTGCCCAAACTTATCTGTCCTTGTCATAAACTCTCAACATTATTCTCTAGTTGTCTTGTAGGCTTATTTCTTCAACAAATACTAAACTGTATTCATGTCTCTGAATTATGCACACCAACAAGCACAGGCTGGGGACACAATAGGAGTTCAATAAATACCCATATACCATACTACGAACAAATTATTCTCCATATTGGCTCAGGAGACAGACAGAACATCATGTTCTATTTCGGAATTTAGAGGAGGTTACTCTTAAGGGAGCTCTACTAATTTTTGTCCAAACCAGGCCTACACACTGGTGGTATAAATGGGTAAAAGTCTGGGGACATTAATAGAAGAAGTAGTTGACTTTTCTCTAACTCAGTTATAATCAAAGTACTGTTGAGAGGCTGGGGTTATGGCTCAATGGTAGAGTGATTGCCTAGCATGTGTGAGGCTCTGGGTTCAATTCCCAGCACCTCATATAAATGAAATAAAAACAAAGGTCCATCAACAACCAAATATATATACATAAACAAACTGTTGGCAGCAGAACCTTAGTTTCAACCTTGAAGAGACAATAGGGAGTGGTGGGGACAGTGGCAACAAAACAAAAAAAGGGGAAGGTTTCAATTGATTGTGGGTGTGCTAGAACACAGGTCTGCTAATGCCACATACTTTAAGTTTTTGAAAGACTTAAATATGGATTTTTTTAAAAAAAACATGGCATGTCCCTCCTCCATTAAAAAAATTAAAGCACAGTGTAGGGTAACATCTAGTGGGCAAACATAACATAGCCACAGACCACGTTCAGCCAGCTCACAGCCCCTGTCCTGAATGGCGAGCAGAGCTGCTGCTGAATTCCATTTCCTCCCAGTCTGACTGCTTTCTCCTGTTCTGTGACATTTGATTTTTACACATGCATTCAAACATAAACACACACAGGTACGTACATACTTAAACATAACCCACAAAGTTAGGGTGGAAAAAACAGAAACAGAGAATGTTTCTAATTTATTTCTGAGACTGAAGAGAACAGCTAGAATTTCAAGGTCACAGAATATCTGATGTCATGGGGGCCAGATGTTTGAAAATGCTCCTAGGCTAATTTCAATGAACCATCCTGGGATGTCCTCTGGACCTCTTTTCTCACTGGACCAGGTAGTGGAAAGACACTTTGAAAGGGCAGTTATACTCCAGCCTGTGGAACTAGAGAGAGTTGGAAAAAACCAGAGGCCCAAAGCTTACCTGCATAGCTAACCTTTTGGCTCTCCATCAGTGGGTGGCATGGCCTAAGACTGCAGTGTTTTCCAAAATTTAAAGCACAAACAGACCATATAAGTCTTGTTAAAGTGCAGATTCTAATTCATTAGGTCTGGGGGCTGGAGAATAGTACATTTGAAACATGCTCCCGGGTGATGCCAAGGTTTCAGCCCTAACCAGGGCTAAGGAGACCAAGAACAGTTTCTGGCTTTGATCTGAGTTCAAGGCCATTGCCAATTCAGCTGGCCAATCTTCTGGGAGAAATGTACTCAGTTAACTTGTCCCAGCCACAGTGGGTCCCTCCTTTCAATGGGGCTGTCTTGCACACATGGTGTGATGGGAAAAATGTGAGCTCTGGAGCCAGGCTGCCTGGCTTTGAATTCTGACTCTGCCACCTCATAATGTGACCATTGTTAAATTACTCAACCTCTCTGGACCTTACATTTCTTCTCCATAAAATGGGGATTATGGCAGCACGGCCCTCACCAAGTTGTCATGAGGCTTAAATGAGGAAGAATGTGTGTAATTGTCTGGAACAGTGCCTGGCGCATAAGTAGTCCACCCCACCCCAATGACTGGCTGTAAGCTGTAAGAGTGCTCTGTAAGCCAGAGTGCAAATGCTTTTCTTTTCTTAACCTAGAGAAATATACTGCCCGGGAAGACAGCATCCCTTGTACCCGTGACCTCAGTTGGAGGGAATCGTTCACTTGTGGAGAGTGGGAAAGAGAGAACCCCTCTGGGCCGCAGCCACTTTCACTCCTCAGCACTCTGGCAGCTTCCACCTGGCCACAGCTGGCCCCATCCATAGGTATGGTGATGGGGTTGGTCTGGGGGTCTTCATGGGACAGCACTGGTGCTCAGCCTCAGGACTGGGTCCAGTGCTGATGGTGATTTCAGAGCACGTAGTGAGGTGGGAGTGAGGGGCATGGTTGATGTGACTCCTGCTCTCTTCTCTCCTGCTACATACCTCCCTGCCTCCAATGGGGCCGAGCAAACCTCTGCAGTGTGGCTCCTCCAGAGCTCCCAGAGTTCTCACAAGTGACTGGAGACAAAGACATGTGTAGAATGATGCTGGGGCTCCGTCTCCTTGCTCTGTGGAGAGGTGTAAGAGATTCCTCGGGGAGTTATTAACCACCCTTCCCTCCAGCCAGTCTCTTTTCCTACAGCTCTTGGCACTTTGTTTTCTTTTACTTTTTCCCAGTAATGGGGATTCTACCCAGGGCCTTGAACATGCTAGGCAAGTGCTCTATCACTGAGCTACACCCCCAGCCCTTTTAAAATTTTGAGATGGGGTCTTGTTAAGTTAAGGATGGCCTTGAACTTGCAAAACCCTCCTGCTTCAACCTCCTGAGGAGCTAGGATTAGAGCCCTGCTCCACCACACATCACTTGGTAGTCTCTGTACTGCCAAGGTTGGGGTACAGAGAGGGAGGCCTGGGTCAGGCAAACTTCCCTGAGGTCCCACCTTCTTCTCTTCTTGCTCCAAGACTCCCCCATCCATCCTTCATTCATTTAATAAGAATCTGTGAAGGATCTCCTATGTGGTCTGACAGAGACAGAGCATAGAGAAGGTGGGGTGATTTGTTTTCTAAAGTAAAAAAAAATCAATAATTCACTCCCTCCCCAACTAGGGCTTTGAATCCAGGGGCACTCTACCATTGAGCTACATTCCCAGCTCTTTTCTTTTCTTTTTTTTTTTTTTT